GGAATGTAAGGAGAGTGATTAGTTTTACCCCGTATGTATTATGTATTAGCATTGAAGGAGATAATCTCTGAAAACATTTTGTAAATAGTAAAGCACTGTGTGAATGGGAGGTGTCATTTTTACCAACAATAGCCTAGGCTAGGTGAGGAGACAAGAGACGAGCTTTGTTTAACACTGTGGAGGTGGGCACGGCAGGTTCACCCCTCTTTGGGGTTGAGGGAAGCCTCAGGGAGCTCAGATTTGTACCTTACCAAGGTGATTGTGAAGAACCTGTCATGGGGGACCCGAGTGGTACTCAAATCACACTATGGCTATGAGTTGGAAGAGGTGAAAATCCTTGGAAAGGAACGTGACCTGGTGGCCCACATGTCAGACACGCTACTGCTGGGGGACCTGAACATTAATCGCCTTAGTGAGGTAGGAACCCCAGGCGGAGGGGCGGGGAATGGAGCATCGTGAGCTGCTACTTCTGGGTAACCCCAGTCCCTAAGGGGGAAGATCTCTAAGGAAAAGCTCTAAGATGCTGGCGTTGGGGACCTGGTGGACCTGGGAATGAGACCCTGGAGATTTACAATCCTGGAATGGGAATTCCCACTGTTGGACTGTTTTAACAGCATCTCTCAGAAGCCTAGAAGCCTAGGGCAGAATGTGACACAGCACCCCACTTGTGGAACATCAGGGCCTTCCTAAACTCCTTCTCTCTGCCTCCTACTACCCCGTCCTTCTCTCAGCGTTGTCTTGGATACTTACCCACATTTTCTTATGTCCTCTCCTTCTTTTACAGGTGGTTTGGCAGGGATCTGGTAGCAATGAGAAGTATTTCTTTGAAAATAAAAATGTGAGTAGAGCTTGATTAACCAACCATCACCATCTCAGTAAACCTCCTAGCTAAGAGAGAGCTGATAAAGAAAGGAGGGCGAGATAGGCAGAGGAACAGAAAAAAGAGAAAAGTGGGAGTCACTTTGCACTGACTAGACATCTCCCTCTACTACTGTTGACCGTGCAGACTTCTTCATGCAAACTTCCCACCATGTGACAGTTCCCTTCACCCCCAGGTGTGTATGATCTTCAACGCTGGAGAGCTAACCCCGGTGGAGTATGGGAGTCATGATACCCTGGGTTCTGCACGTACTGAATTCATGAACCCCCACCTCATCAGTTGACCCCACAAGGTTCTCTAAATTTTTGAAACCCAAAAGAAGTCCCTTCTAACCTCTAACTCCTGTATCCTCAAGATTAACCTAAAAACTTCATCCCCTATGGTACTTTGGGCCCTTGCTCAACATCCCAATGACCCAAGTCCATTCTGCCTTACCTCACCCTTCGTGTTTCAGTGTCCGTATTAATGAGCGGCGTCAACGAGGGATGGAAGACAATAAGAAATTGGCTTATCTTGTTGATGTTAAGCCTCTCTCATAATTCTGATAACAAAACAGGTTTATAGATGCTTCCATATCACAGGGGTGTGTAGAGTGGAGAATGCAGGAATCTGAGAGGCACCAGGTAAATGTATGGCCCTGCTGTCACAGAGGATGTGGGAAGTGTTCTAATCCACGTGTGCGAGTCTGCGTCTAGCTGTAGAGATGCAGATACACTTACGCATATCAGCTTGTCCCTGTAATTATTCATGTTTTTTAGGCATGTATCTTAGGGCTAGGAATTGTGAGCTGTAGAACGGAACCATTAGTAAATTTATGAATTTTCCTGTTTAGACTTAGGACATAGGATAATGGGCTGGCTGTTTGAACCGGAAGGGGACTTATTTTCTGTAGAGTTTGACATTGGTAGCCAGTGATGACAAAATTTATTTGAATTTTACAAGTGTTCACATAAGTAAATACATCTTATTTTACGTATTAATAATTAACTCTGAGGACATCTGGGTGGCTCAGTCAGTTAAGAGCCTGCCTTTAGCTCAGGTCATGATCCCAGAGTCCTGGGATCAAGTCCCACATCAGGCTTCTTGCTCAGCAGGAAGCCTGCTTGTCCCTCTGCTTTCTGCTCTCCCTGCTTGTGCACTCACTCTCTCTGACAAATAAATAAGTAAAATCTTAAAAAAAATTTAACTGTATCATGAAATGTTTCAAGCATAGAAAAATGTATTTATAACAGCACAGTATTCCCTATGATGTATAGAGAATAACATACCCATATAGCATCATTAAGAACAAGGGTCTAGAGTCAAACCTCCCCACTTCTGCAATTATACCTGTGTGATCTTGGGTCAATTTCTTAACTTTCCTGTATCTCAATTTCCTCATCCACAAAATGGGGATAGAAATCGTACCTACCTTTTATGAAAAGCACTTAGACTAATGTCTGGCACATAATAAGCACTTAATAAATGTTAGCTATTAATAATATTATTATCACTTGTGTACCCATACCTAATTCCTTTTTTTTTTTAAGATTTTATTCATTTATTTGACAGACAGAGATCACAAGTAGGCCACAATGCAGGCAGAGAGAGGAGGAAGCAGGCCCCCCACTGAGCAGAGAGCTCGATGCGGGGCTCGATTCCAGGACCCTGAGATCATGACCTGTGCCGAAGGCAGAGGCTTTAACCCACTGAACCACCCAGGCGCCCCCCCATCCCTAGTTCTATCATGTCCTGACCTTTCATTATATTTACTTCAGATCTTTATCTCTCCTCTTACTGAGGGACATTGAAGTTGTTGGTTTTTCACCATTTCCAGTGTTTTGGTTCTCTCAGGTTTACACCTAGAGCGGAACTGCTGAATCATAGAAGAGGTACATCTGTAATTTTGCTAAATCTTTCCAAATTGCTCTCCAAAGAGATTGTACCAATTTACATTCCCACCAGCAGTTAGAGGCCCCAGTGTTCTGCATCCTCTCCAATACTTGAAATTGCCTGACTTCTTAGTTTGGCTCAATCTGAGTTATGTGAAATAATACTTCATTGTATTCATTTTTGTTGTTGTTCATTTGTTTATTGGTGTTTGGATTTGTTCTTCTGCATTTTTCCAGTTCTTATCCCTTGCCTATTTTTAAAATCAGGCTGTCTTTTCCGTATTGACTTGAAGGAGTTCTGTGTATGTGCGTATCTAGCCTTCGAGGGTCATTCGTGTTGCGGATATTTTGTCTCAGCCTCTTTTAGTGTTCAGACATTTCTAATTTTAATGTAGTTCATTTAATCACTTTTTAAGAAATAGTTTGTGATTTTTTTTTAAGATTTTTATTTATATATTTGACAGACAGATCACAAGTAGGTAGAGAGGCAGGCAGAGAGAGAGAGGAGGAAGCAGGCTCCCCGCTGAGCAGAGAGCCCGATGTGGGGCTCGATCCCAGGACCCTGGGATCATGACCTGAGCCGAAGGCAGAGGCTTTAACCCACTGAGCCACCCAGGTGCCCCTTGTTTGTGATTTTTGAGGTCTCGTTAAGAAGTTTCCCTGGGGGGGCTGCCTGGGTGGCTCAGTGGGTGAAGCCTCTGCCTTCGGCTCGGGTCCTGATCTCAGGGTTCTGGGATCGGGTCCCACGTCGGGCTCTCTGCTTAGGCGGGGAGCCTGCCTCCTCCTCTCTTTCTCTACTTGTGATCTCTCTCTCTGTCAAATGAATAAAAGCTTTAAAAAAAAAAAAAAAAGTTTCCCTGGGGCACCTGACTGGCTGAGCCAGAGGAGCATGTGACTCTTGATCTTAGGATCGTGAGTTTGAGCCCCAACCTGGGTGTAGAGTTAAGTAAAGAAAGAAAGAAAATTTTTAAAAAAGAAAAAGTTTCCTACTCCCTCCTATATTTTAATATTTTCAGATTTTGCTTGTCACCTGGAATTAATTTTTGTGCATAACGAGGGTGTGGCTCATATTTTACTTTTTCCATGTTTAACCGTTTATTGGAAATCCGTTCTGTACTCACTGATTCGTAATGTCACCTCTTATAAATCAAGTTTCCAAATACATATAGGTCTGTTCTTAAGGTACTTTTACAGTTCATGAGTTTTATGTTTCACATCTGATTGTTGAGTTGTAATGGAAATGGTATAGTGTGGTGGCCCATGTTCCAGTGGCAGTAATGAGCTGTGAGACTTTGGACAAGTCATCCCACTACATGGGCTCGTCTTCAATAGTATAAAAAATGATGGGGGTATAGCTCAGGGGTAGAGCATTTGACTGCAATAGTATAAAAAATGACAGAGTTCTTCTCTTAACCTATTTTCATTACTGACCCCTTTGAGTTTCTAATGAAAATCCTAGATCCTGGGGAGCCTGGGTGGCTCCGTTGGTTAGGTGACTGCCTTCAGCTCCGGTTGTGATCCTTGAGTCTCGCTTTGGGCTCCCTACCCGGCAGGGAGTCTCCTTCTCCCTCTGACCCTCCCCCCTCTCATGTTCTGTATCTCTCTCTCCCTCTCAAATAAATCAATAAAATCTTTTTTAAAAAATCATAGATCCTTCCCCGGAAGAATATACATAAACATACAATTTTGTATATAATTTCAGGGTGTTCACAGAGATAGGGTCCCACAGCTCTAGTATTCTGTGATTCTACTTATAAATTGAGACACTGAAACATAGCTTTATCAAGGTGGCTTTTAATTAAAGGAAATTTCATTTTTCAGTTGGTCTTCCCAGTTGTAGACATTAGCTGGCATTTGGTCTTGAGCTTCAGCACGGATCACGGCAGGACGTTGCGCATTGGTAACGTATACAAATAAGAGCTGTGGATGCGCCGTGTTCAGGAGACTCCCTGAAAGCATCCTAGCCAATCCTCAAGTGTGATCCTATCTTACATTGTCTGCTAAATTCACACCAAACTAAAAGACTTATCCTCAGCACTCTCAGCCTGACTTTAATCAGAGGTTCCTTCTGTTTTGTCTGTGTGCCTTCTCCACTGTTTGCCCCTCGGGGCTCTTACATCATTGACACTCAAAGTGCAGGGATCTCCTTGCAGCAGATATGTTCATGGAGGTCATTTCATCCATCAGCTTTCTCTTCGTGGTTGTGCTGGAACTGGGGCTCTTCCTTAATGTGCTCAGTGCTGCCTTCCAGAGGATTTCTTGGGTAACGGATGCCCGTTGCTCTGATGTGTTCTGATCTGCTATGAGACGACTCCAAGATCCCAGAGAGGAATCTCATTTCTTGATGGATCTGGACCTTTTGAGTTAGCTACAGAGTTAAACAAAATCTCTACAATTTTAGTAGAAATCTGGTATTGTAAGCATCTTAGCAAAATTATGTCATATTCCTCATACTCCACACTGATGTAATAACGTTCTTAAAGCCCAACATAATCATCAAAGGCAAGACTTTTGCAGGCTGCCTTGTGTCCTGTATATGATTATGTGGACTCTGTCTTCTTAACCCTGTCTCCTTTACTTTGTAGTGGATCTGACTGGTGGCTACAACATTAGCACCATCAGCCACGAGAGCCGTGTGGATTGGCTGGAACTTAATGAAACGGGGCACAAGCTTCTCTTCAGGGACCGGAAACTTCGTGTAAGAAGGGTTACTAAGGCCTTAGCCATTGAGTAGTCCATAGAGGATGTGGTACTACCTGTTGCCAGGGATTGCGGGGGGCAGGATGGGCATAATTTCTTGGTGCACTATGCCATTAACATAGCAAAAGGCACAGAAGAATCAACATTGTGTCTGTTATCACAGCCCATTTGTTACCATAGCCCATACCTTAAGAAGATGGTATTGTGATGGCACCAAAGCCGAGAAGGAAATTTGGGAGCTGGTTTCTCTGTTACTGTTCACAAGTCTGTGCCCTCGTGAGACGGCCTCACCCCCGCATGCCTGGCTGACCTTTACCCACACCTGTTGCGGCATTCATCAGCTACACGTACCCCACAGCGTTAAGGCTGGCTCGACAGTCTCCCCCGAGCTCCTTATTGACTCGGATCTCAATATGGTATCACCAAAGAGCTCAACCTCGAGGGCAAAGAGACTGTCTGGTGATTTCTCATTTCATATTCATTGTGATGTGAAAGCCACATCGCTGATTTCCAGACCATTTAATGTGCGTGGTGGCCTTACTTTTGTGATCCAGTCTGGCAACTCTGGCCCAGAGTTAAACTCTAAGAACGAAAGTCTGACCTTCAGCTAACTTAAATTTCTGGGTGTAGCTCTGGGCCTACTTGGTCATCTCTTATGGGCCAGAGTCAGGATGTACCAAGTCAGCATAAACGTCGAGCATCGCAGGCTAGTAAGCTTTGAAATTCAGCATCTGCCTGGCTGGTGGGTCAGCTCGGCACATTTCGTTAGAGAAATGGTCGATATCAGAAGCCACCCCATAGCCCCTTCTGACTGCGCTGTCCACCTCTTCCTTCCGCAGCGGCATCTGTACGATATTGAAAGCTGCTCTAAGATGAATGATGCTCAACTTCTGCTCCTGCGTGCAGTGGGTCCCAGGAAGTGACGTGCTGGTGGCTCAGAACCGAAACAGCCTGTGTGTGTGGAACAACATTGAGGCACCCGAGAGGGTCACCACATCCTCTCTTAGGGTACGTCGGTGCCAGGGGACCTCAGACATAGTGTCCCACCAATCAGTTAGGGCCCTGAGGAAGCTCCAAAGGTTATTTGGTTTTCTCTGGCCCACCACCCTTCATCTCTGTGATAGAGTCGGCAAGTAAAGCTTAGATCCTTCCCCACAGTGCGCTAGGCCCCAGAACCGTCCTTGTCCAGATTCCTGACATTGTGTCCTGTCCTCTCTATTACAGTGGCCCTGGGAATTCACCAGGTCATAATGAGTTCTCCTAGGCTGGAAGAGCCCCCATAGCGGGGGCAGTTCTGTCAGTTCCTGGGTGAGGATTCGCTGTTCTAAGCTGTTCGGAGCTCCTTTTTTTATCAGACTGAAGATCAGTCACTCTGCTGTCCCGCCAGCATCACGTACATTCCAGCGACCTTCCAGAATCTGGGAGGGAAAACAAGAGAGGCCCCTGTGCTGGGCTAGGATGACTGGTGTGGGTACAGAGCGAGCATGTGATAGTTCTTTTTGTCTTTTTTCTATATCTCTTCTTTCCCTCCTCTCTTTCCTCATTTTAGACTAATTAAGTTTGGCGCTTGGGGGTTGTTTTGTCCTTTTTTTTTTTTTTTAAGATTTTATTTATTTATGGGGCGCCTGGGTGGCTCAGTGGGTTAAAGCCTCTGCCTTCAGCTCAGGTCATGATCCCAGGGTCCTGGGATTGAGCCCCCCATTGGGCTCTCTGCTCAGCAGGGAGCCTGCTTCCCTTCATCTCTCTGCCTGCCTCTCTGCCTACCTGTGATCTCTGTCTGTCAAATAAATAAATGAAATCTTTAAAAAAAAATTTTTTATTTATTTATTTGACAGACAGAGATCACAAGTTGGCAGAGAGGCAGGCAGAGAGAGAGAGAGGAAAAAGCAGGCTCCCTGCTGAGCAGAGAGCCCGATGTGGGGCTCGATTCCAGGACCCTGGGATCATGACCTGAGCCGAAGGCAGAGGCTTTAACCCACTGAGCCACCCAGGTGCCCCTGTTTAGTCCTTTTTAAGACAAATTTTTCACATTTTTGCTTTGGAGGCCATACCTTTGACTCCTATGGTGGTCACCCTTGGAAGTTGACCATATCCTTAAATTATTCTGAATAGTTTCAACTTATTTAGCATCTGACCTCTAGCAAATGATACAAGGACCTGAACGTTGATTACCTCCTCTTTGCCATTATTGTCCAGTATTTTTTTATCCCCAAAGTGAGACATTATTCCTTTACACAGCCGGAATTTGATTATATTTGCCAGCATGGTGCCAGTTTCTCTGCTCACTCTTTTTGCATTGCTGACCTTTGCTCTGGAGTTACCTCCTTGAGAGAAAGTGTTTCGAAGATGAACGCTCAGTTTCTGAAAATTATCGAAATGGAATGATCTGGAAATGTTTTTATTTGGCGTGTTCTTGAAAGAACAGTTTGACAGTTTTTCTTAGTCTTTTGCAAATACTCTTGTCCCATTGACTGATCCCCTTAGTTCTAAGACGTTTATTCACAGCTCCTTGTGTTGTCTTGTTGTTTTTTTAAAAAAGATTTTATTTATTTATTTGAGAGAGCAAGGGGAGGGGCAGAAGGAGAAGCAGACTCCCCACTGAGCAGGGAGGGATGGGGGGGCTTAGTCCCATAACTCCAGGATTGTGACCTGAACCTAAGGCAGAGGCTTACCCGACTGAGCCACCCAGGCGTCCCTGTCTTGTTGGTTTTATTTTTTTTATTTTTTTTTTAAAGATTTTATTTATTTATTTGTCAGAGAGAGAGAGGGAGAGAGAGCGAGCACAGGCAGACAGAATGGCAGGCAGAGGCAGAGGGAGAAGCAGGCTCCCTGACGAGCAAGGAGCCCGATGTGGGACTCGATCCCAGGATGCTGGG